AAAAAACGACAGCTAGCATAGAACAGGTGGAGTACACAGAGCAATCACATTCCTGGCTTGTTGCTAAGCATGCTGACTGGTGTGTATATAAATGTAGGTCATTACTGCTTGACTTACAGCCTATGGTGACCCCTGCAATTTTTACAACTTTTAGTACAACTGTCTTGGGCATGTATGTACTTCTGAAAATTGTATTTCAGCGGCTTATCTTATGGCTAATACGGTAGAAGCTTATCTTATAGCTTCCTAATATGGCAGTGGTTAATCTTATAGCTTCCTAATATGGCAGTGACTTATCTCACAGCTTCCTAATATGGCAGTGGCTTATCTTGTAGCTTTCTAATATGGCAGTCGTTAATGTAATAGCTTTCTAATATGGCAGTGGTTTATCTCATAGCTTCTTAATATGGCAGTAAATCTATGTGAGCAATCAGCAAGATCTTTTCTTTATGTGAATCTATGTTGTGGGAGGTACAAACTGATTGAGCTGTAGCAAAATCATTTGGTCAAGTGATTTCATAATAATTTTGTTTTTTTCATTAGACAGAAGGTCTTTATTATCTAGTATATCTGCATTGTCCTAGACATTTATTTCATCTTCATATAGTCTACATGAAAACAGTGGTGACAGTATGTGGTGTCTCAGTACGGACAGCAGACACATTCAAACGTTGTGAATTCCATTCCATGCACTTTGAAAAGAAAGTACAGCTCAACTTTGCCACTGCAACCTATCACTGCATCTTGCGACAATTAATTTATCATTAATTAGTCATTTATAAGCCATCAATACCCCCTGGACTCTTAAACAGGTTGTGGATGACGTCATGAGATCTGATGGGTGTATTGATACTTTGATCTTGTAAAGTCCATTAGCACATAAATTATTACGGAATCTCACGCTGGATGGTTATAAGAGTACACTAAACGGTCTGTGATAATGTATCGTCACAACAACAAATGTTTTGCCAAAGTCAGTAAATATGTCACATTTTTAAGTTGTTGTGTTTTCCTGTCGAGGCCTTGTAGCATAATATAACATTTTAAAATGTTAATTTTGCAAGTCTGGGTGAAATTCAAAATGTTACAGTGAACTTTTTCTCAATTTCTGGGAATCTAGAGACCTCACACTCTTGGGAAAGATCCAAATTATTAAAACTATGGCAATTTCATGACTTCAATACATTGTTAACCTAGTGGACATCCCAATTAAATATCTGAAAAAAATCAACACAATGTTATTTGAATTTCTGTGGAGGGGCCCGGATTTATGCCATTTATGCAGCAGAATTATTTGGTTGAGATGAGTGAGTGACAATAAAGTGTCACATACATGGAAAACAATCATTTTAGACAAATTGAAATCCATTGGTGGACTTTGGGTGTTATTGAATTGTAACTTAGTTAGTCTTAAACACGAAAGTAAATCAATTGATTTACAAAATTGTACTACAAGAACTGTGGCTAAGAGTATTGTGAACTATAAATTTATCTCACCTAGATCTGAGACCTATTTTACCGTATTATTGAATATCTTGCACTTGATGTCTTGGTTGCCAATCTACCAGTTACCCTTTCGTACTACAATTGATACTCGTCTCAGAGAATTTCAACTCAAAATAATCCATAATATTCTGACCACAAACAAAACATTATTCAAGATGAACCCTCTCATTGTATAGTCTGATCTGTGTACTTTCTGATCATCATGCTTTGAGTCTATTATCCATTTGTTTTACCAATGTCACTGTACCCAAGATTATTGGAAAACAATGTATATGCTGTTGGAGGGGGTAAGCACGGCCTGAGGGCATTCCAGAATGCACGACAAATCCTTCTTGGAGATGAAAATTGTACATGTTTAGCCAACTTCCTCTTTCTGGTAGCAAAAAGTTATATTTACTTGTGTAGGCAAAAAAAACCATGGCATACAAAAGATATGTAACATATTTTCTGGAGATAGAGTACTTCATTGCTGTCCGACAGAATAAGTTGACTTCTCATATTAAGAAATGAGGAAATTTTTAACAATTGTCCCCAGTCCGCTTCCCAATATGCATATTAAATGCAATTTGTAATGTACAAACCAGGTATGTGAAATTGAAAAATTATGTGGTTTTAATTATTTTTTTTGTATTACACTACAATATAGTATCGCGCCTTGCAATTGCACAGTCTCATTGGTCGATCAGTACCATGTGATGCCCAGTTATTGGATGAGTTGACTGGTGTTGACTTCTGACATGCTATCACTATGTGGTGAATTTCTTTCTTATGCATGACATCTTACAAATATTCTATTTCTCATCATTTTGAAATATTATAATTGATGTAGACGACGCCACACTGCAATTATTACATCATAACAGCACTGACAGTGGCATGTTTGCTTAAATAGTGGCCCGGCTTAACTGCATCTTGGCCATTATTATTCACATCTTCATTCTTGCCCTGTTATCCCATTATTGCATACATCCCCATCCTTGCCCTGTTATCCCATTATTGCACACACACCCATCATTGCCCTGTTATCCCGTTATTGCACACATCCCCATCCCCATCCTTGCCCTGTTATCCCATTATTGCACACATCCCCATCCTTGCCCTGTTATCCCATTATTGCACACATCCCCATCCTTGCCCTGTTATCCCATTATTGCACACATCCCTATCCTTGCCATGTTATCCCATTATTGCACACACACCCATCCTTGTCCTGTTATCCCATTATTGCATACATCCCCATCCTTGCCCTGTTATCCCATTATTACATACATCCCCATCCTTGCCCTGTTATCCCATTCTTGCACACACTCCTATCCTTGCCCTGTTATCCCATTATTACATACATCCCCATCCTTGCCCTGTTATCCCATTATTGCACACATCCCCATCCTTGCCCTGTTATCCCATTATTGCACACATCCCCATCCTTGCCCTGTTATCCCATTATTGCACACATCCCTATCCTTGCCATGTTATCCCATTATTGCACACACACCCATCCTTGTCCTGTTATCCCATTATTGCATACATCCCCATCATTGCCCTGTTATCCCATTATTACATACATCCCCATCCTTGCCCTGTTATCCCATTCTTGCACACACTCCTATCCTTGCCTTGTTATCCCATTATTACATACATCCCCATCCTTGCCCTGTTATCCCATTATTGCATACACGCCTATCCTTGTCCTGTTATCTCATTATTGCATGCATCCCCATCCTTGCCCTGTTATCCCATTATTGCATACATCCCCATCCTTGCCCTGTTATCCCATTATTGTTCGCATACCCATCCTTGCCTTGTTATCCCATTATTGCACACACCCCATTCTTGCCCTGTTATCCCATAATTGCACACATTCCCATCCTTGCCCTGTTATCTCATTATTGCACACATTCTCACCTTTGCTATGTAATCTCATTATTGCACACATTCCCATCTTTGCCCTGTTATTCCATTATTGCACACATCCCCATCCTTGCCCTGTTATTCCATTATTGCACACATCCCCATCCTTGCCCTGTTATCCCATTATTGCATACACCCCATCCTTGCCCTGTTATCCCATTATTGCATACATCCCCATCCTTGCCCTGTTATTCCATTATTGCATACATCCCCATCCTTGCCCTGTTATCCCATTATTGCATACATCCCCATCCTTGCCCTGTTATCCCATTATTGCATACATCCCCATCCTTGCCCTGTTATCCCATTATTGCACACATCCCCATCCTTGCCCTGTTATTCCATTATTGCACACATCCCCATTTTTGCCCTGTTATCCCATTATTGCACACATCCCCATCCTTGCCCTGTTATCCCATTATTGCATACATCCCCATCCTTGCCCTGTTATCCCATTATTGCATACATCCCCATCCTTGCCCTGTTATCCCATTATTGCACACATCCCCATCCTTGCCCTGTTATTCCATTATTGCACACATCCCCATCCTTGCCCTGTTATGCCATTATTGCATACATCCCCATCCTTGCCCTGTTATGCCATTATTGCATACATCCCCATCCTTGCCCTGTTATCCAATTATTGCACACATCCCAATGCTTTATTCACTTGATAACAAGATCAATGTTCAACATTTAACATTTATTGAAGATCATGTATTTAAATATATCTATGGTAATCGATTTGGATTGATCAATTCATTCCCTGAACAACAAAAAACATTTCTCAATTGTACTGTATGAGACATGTACGCAAAAATGCCCAAAAGAACGTGTGAGGCACAAGTTTTCAACTAACACATTCAATAGTATGAAGCAAAACATTGTTGTTGTTGTTGTTATTAAACCAACAAATAACTTCAAATCTGTCAAATTGATGCAATAAATTATTTTCAATTAGGCAGGAAAAATGGTAATGTAGATGGTCCCTAAAAAACACTGTCTGTTCATGTTTATTTATTTATATTGACATCATTCTAAGTCGGTGGTCATTTTGAGTGGCCAGCTACTAGCTTGTTCATTCATCATCGAGTGTACTTCTGCTGAACGTTTTGAACGTTTTGAACGTTTTTTATTTGCAATTTGACAATCACTTGTAAGAAAGCTGATTGACTCAGACTGACAAAATACTTGATTCCACTTTTCTAACACTAGAACTCTGTCAGAGATCAAGAGGTCAAAATCAGTGACAGGTATATCACGTCTCTCCTTGATGTTCACATTCTTGATTTTTTCTGCATTCTATTGTTGTTTGACACTACTCAAGTAATTGAAATGTATTACCACTGTGTGAGGATGATGATTAATTCATACTCTTCTGGTCAAGAAGTTTGTAAGACATTATGGTTATCATACTTTTAACTCCTTGGCTATCAAGTGTCTCAGCATATTAAGAAGTGTTGAAAGCATCTTAACCATTGGGGACTTAGTTTTCACACCTTTTTATTAAATCTCAATAAAAAAATCATCAAATTATTGCTGTTTATTATTTATACTGAATTCTGTTTCTCTTTTTGTTCCAGGTCAAAAACATTGCTAATTATTTTGGGGATACTTTGAAAGCTGCTGAGATTGCCTGCGGGAAAAGTTTGAATGACCCGACCATGAAGCTGTTGCTAAAGGAAGTTCAGAATATGGCGGCCATTTTGTCTGCTATGATGAGAACACTGAGAATCCTGCAGAATAGGTAGCTGTGATGAATTAGCATTGCAAATGATTACCTTATTTGGGCATGTGTGATTTTATCACATGACGTGTGTTAACCTATGAGATGAGTTGCATTTTACTTACAAAAATTTACATATCCACTGCTGTTGTAATTGTAAATTTGCATATTTGAATATTTGTTTCTTATTGTACAGTAAAGAGCCACCTATGCAAATGAGAATAAGACAATCACAAGTTGTTCATTTCAGTTTTAGTCTTTTAATCAAAAAAGGCAGAAATAGTTTTCACATAAAAGTTTTTATCTGCTATAGCTTCTGTCATATAAGTTTCAAAATCGTTGAGAAAATGAAATTTGGGTCTACAAAAATCATTTTTTTTTTAAAGCATTACATTGATCACGCAGCATGCATTTAAATTTGGTGGCAACAAACAATATGTATTACATGTTGTATGCATTGGACCTTTATGGAACACCGAGTGGTATGAAGACGTACAGGAAATTATCATGGTTTTTGTATGAAATGTCTCTTTTGTTTACTGTTCCTCTTTTTTAGTCACCATTTGAATAATCACAGCAAATGTTGCAGCAGCACCACAGTGGGAACAAATATTCTAATAATACATCTGAAATATTTATTTATTCTTGAACTGAGAAAGGCTTTGATTGTTTCTCTATGTTTTATGAATGTTGATTCTTATATTTAATCATGCAGTATTCAAATATTATGTAACAATGCATTTTACAAACATTGTATTTGTATGTGTGAGAAGAATTAAAAAAACGAAGATTTTTTTTTTATATGTATGTACGTACGTAAGAAAACACAGATTTTTTTAATTTGTATTTTTATTGTATACTATATAAGGAAGTAGAAAACAACCATGAGTATGTATTTGGAGACAACTTAAACATTATTTTTGTTGAAATATTGTATAATTTACCTTCAAAATGAAAGTATTTTACATTTATTTATTTTTGAATTACAACCACTTGCTCCTTGAAATAATGCAGTGAATTGTCACTGTTGAAAGCAAGTCTGAATTTATTGATCTGATTTTCATGTAAATTGTTATTACTGCTTTTTTGTGAATGATACATATTAACAACTATGTAACTAATTACTGTAGACTGGTGAATGTTTGCAGTTAGATGATTAAAGTCACAGTAGCTTCATGTCTTTAAGACCCCAGTGAACATACTGGTTACATCATGGTCATGTGATGTGCATGCAACCATCAATTTGACAATAACAAATTTCTAACACAGCTGCTGTGAATTTTGGGAGGTTTCAGCCAATCAAATTGTCTCTGATATTCAAAGTTGTTGATACTTTGATCTCATGTATGTTGTCAGGTTACGGCAAATAACAACAGAAATTCTAGAATGCCCATTCGCAAATTAAAAACAGCTGTGTCGTACGACGCTACAAAATTCTGTGAATTTTCCTGACTTGCAAATTTCATGAAACTTATCTTTTACAAAAGGAGGCTGTTTTTCTGTAGTGGATCTGTCATTTTCAGCTGTTGCATCTTGATCCACTAATTCATTCAAATATATTGATATCAGCCTTAGAAAACAGCAAAATTATTTTTAAATTTTGGATAATATTAGTGACCCACAATGCATTGCTACAACCCCAGAGATTAAAACGTTATCCCATACAGTTTAAGCTTGATAAGGGATGGATCATTTGATTGATGGGAGATGGACAGAAAATGTTGTTTGGCAATGGTTTTATATTATATACAAGTATTATCCTTGGAAAAGGGTGCAATTGCTATTTACCTTGAGGGGGAAAACTCCAGTACTTTTAATTACGTTACTGTCAACTGAATGCAGCATGTGATTTATTACCAGCCTTATGGCCATTAATAGTGCAGTTTCATTTTTATATAAAAGTGATCTATTTTTCTTATCACTCGTGAGTCAGTGTGTTTTAGTGAATAATATTGATTGCCTCTGTCATATTTTAGTGAGTCGTTAAAATTGCCTTGTACAATATGGTGTTTTTTTTAAAGTTTATAATAACTGATTTTTACTTTAGTTTTAAGAGCAGCATTTATGGCAGTTTTGTTTAAACCATCTTTTGAAATTCAGTCATCTCTATATTGTTATATTCTTTAATACAGAGGAGAGATGTATTATGTTCTGTATTCGTTCTGTTGAATTTTGCATTGTGGAATTTACCTCTTTTCTGTAGTTTTAATGACTCTTAGCCTTGATCTTGAAAGATGGGTCTGAACAACTCAAGATCTACACAGTATGGTCTTGTCAATGTGTATTCATTGAATGTCACAGCATACAAGGATGTCCGTTTATTCTAGTGGGACACTCACAATTCCATTCACAAGTTTATACTTAGAAAGCGTACCACAATCGCAATTAAAAAAATCCCCAGAGGGTAGGTAGCACAGTGTGGAGGCTTTTTAATTCTTTATATGTGAGTAAATCAGTCACTTTTGATGTATTTTTGTTATTTGTATATTATTGTATTTTTTTAATATTGTTTACCCATGGTTGTCATTGATGCTCTTGTCTCTCTTGTTATACACACACACCTGCCAAGTTAGTCTATAGCGATAGTACAAGGGGGAGGGGGCAGTGTTCACAGCTGTGCCAGCTAATATCTTCAATGAAGAAAAAACAAATTTATGTGATTTATGTTTTGATGGTTTTTCTAATACAGACTTTATTTTTACCACACACGTAAAAGTGAAAACCGTTTATTGAAAAATGCAGTAGCTATTAGAACGGCTCATTGCCTGTGGTTTGAACCAAGACAGACTCGGTGTCAGGATCAATTCAAGCTGGCCGCCGATGCTTGGCGACAGACTACTCCACAATCGATTGGAGCGTGAGGCTGGTCGCTCCCTCATAATGCAAGGTTCCATGGCAATTGGCAGGCATAGAAATTGGGCGAGCTACCAGCAAGTTAATGGGTTCTTAATAGTGACACATTGAAGCAGCTGTTGGAGGTTCCCAATATTACCAGTCGTAAAGTGCCTTCTTCCCCAGGTACTTACTGAATAGGGGGGTGAATGAATGTCACCCAAAAAGGCAGCTAGGAGGGGCATTTTTTGCAAAGACCTACTGTTTATTTTAACTATGTTAAATATAATAGCAAGTTAGGTTTTCTTCTTTTTTAATCTGAGCCATAATATTGTCACAAACCAGAAAATGCTGCAATTTCTTTGTCTATTGGGATAGATGTAACCGTAGTTTGATGTTCATTTGCAACAGTTAATTGCAATTGTTTTGCAAATCTGTTGTTATGGTAACTACAGGAAATTAATTTCATCCTTGTTTGGGTTTTTAGTATGAAGGCACCATCATGTCTCACCATCATACTGTTTACCTTTTTCTTTTTCTATATTTAAGTTAAATTTACATGTTTTGTATATTTTTGTATTTTTTAACACTTGGTGTGTGATTGCGCAAGCTTTTGTTTGTGTGTGGACACTAAACATGGTTTTGTAAATTGTATCGGTGCATTTGTACAAACTGCCCTCCAGAGTTTACATCTTGTATCTATTGTAACAAACAGATTATAAATATGATTAATTTGTATATTTTAAGCATATATCACGCAAGTTCTGACATGTATATATTTGTGCAAGAGGTGTGGTTTATATTAAATCAGGGCGTTATGTTGTGTGACAATAGAATGTATATATACTTTATTAATGTTTTGTACATGAGTCGCACACCATGGAAATATTAATTTTGTTCTTCGGTTATATATTAAAAACATGTAACATATTGAAGAGACGTCACACGTGTGTTTTATTACCGCTTCCATGTGACTTAATTGATTTGCATTGCGTCCCCTGATCTCTTTCACTTTACCAGTTGGGTTGAGGCACAATGTGTTGCACAGGAAATCACTGTGCAAAATGATCTCTCGTCCAATCAATGTCCATTATTGGGGTACATATGTTTCACAGATTTCCTAATCATCCAAAATAAGTTGCACTGACTAATATATGCAATGTTGAAAATTAAGATTTCGTACGTGGCCCCTTATCTAATCCATATGCCAATCCACATTGCATATCACAAATGACTACGGATTGCTGCTAGTTAGTTTCCAGTGACTTTCACGTTCAGTATAGTGCATGGGTGGCCGATTTTATTGTGTACAATTTTCGTCGTCGTCGATAGTGACTAGGATTAGGAACACTGTGGTACGTGTCTGCTTAGACTTCTTTTTTTTCAACTCCTCTCGAATTCGCATAACAACGTTTTCAATGATTTATATTGTGGACACCACAAGGGTTGTTTTGTCACAGCAGTTTGATTCAACGTGTTGTAGCGATGAACCGTCTAATACCGGCTCCCCGGGGACGGAGTATTCAATAGAAGGAGATTATATACGGTTTCTCTTGCCAACTAGTAGAGAGTGTTATAGTAGAGGAACATTCTTGTCTGTGTACAATCTGTTGTACCAATATTAATTGTCCGTTACTGAAAAGTTGGAGAATGTATGGTCTTAGTATTGACCATATCAACATTATTTGCATAAATCGTCTTTTCCGTTATTTATGTGGATATTCGTGTTCTGAAAATCTTAAACTGTTGTATTGACCAGGTGCGTGGGCAACACTGGAAAATACGAAAGTTTAGCTGGAATTAATTTCGCTGAAAAGACTTTTTGAGTGTTTCATATGGAATTTATTTTCACTGAATTTTTGACAAGTTGAATGTAAAATATAGGAAAAGGTATATTCGCTGGATTTTATTTTCACTGAACCACACCTTCAGGGAAAATAATTTATTTTACAGTTTTCAAACACAGTATCATAAGCCAGGCCTTTATGGTCAAGACTTCAAGAAAAGCTTAAAAAACATACATCTCCGAAACTGTATGGGTATCTTTTTGTAGGGGTGGCTCAAATGTGTTTACGTAAAACGATGTGCAATCATTCGAAATACGACCGAGTACGTTGCGTCCATTTGTGATTCTTCTCGACTCGGGTTGCCAGGAACAACGGTCGGATCGCCGCATTTCTTGTAGCTGGCTAA